CCCATCATCCCCCATCATCCTCTATCATCCCTGTCACCCCCATCATCCCCCATCATCCTCTATCATCCCTGTCACCCCCATCATCCCCCATTGTCCCCACTGTCCCCTTCTTCCCCCATTGCCCCCTCATTTCCATCATCCCATCATTCTCATCACCCCCATCATTCCATTTTCCCGATCACCCTGATCATCCTCATCTTCTGCATCATCCCTGTCACCCCCATCGTCCCCATCACCCCCATCACCCCCATCATCCCCACCATCCTGTCATCCCCATCATCGTGCATCACTCTTGTCACCCACATTTCCCCCATCATCCCCATCATCCCATCGTCCCCATCATCCCATTGTCCCCACCATCCTCATTGTCCCCATCATCTCCGTCACTTTCATTGTCCCTATTGTCCCCCATTGTCCCCCCACCCCACCTCCATCATTCTTCATTGACTGCATCACTCGTTACCCCCACTGTCCCCACTGCTCCTATTGTCTCCATCACCCCCAACATCTCCATCATCCCATTGTCTCCATCATCCCCATCATGTCCATCATCTCTGTCACTGCCATTGTCCCCCATCACCCCCATCACCCTCATCATCCACTTCCTCCTTCATCCTCTTCATCAGCATCACTCATGTCACCCCCATTGTCCCCATTGCTCCCATTGTTCCCACTGCCTCCATTGTCCCCATTGCTCCCATTGTCCCCATTGCTCCAATTGTTCCCACTGCCCCCATTGTCCCCATCATCCCCATTGTCCTCATCACCCCATTTCCCCCATTGTCCCCATCATCCCCATTGTCCCATTGTCCCCATCACCCCCACTATCCCATTGTCCCCATCGTCCTCATTGTCTGCCTTGCTCATGTCACCCCGTTGTCCCCATCCCCCGATGCTCCCCTCTCCCTCCCCCCAGCAGCCCCCTGATCCCCCCGTTCCCGCAGCCGCCGGCACTCCCCAGGTGCAGGTGAGCCCGGAGCGGACGGAGGTGCAGGAGGGCTCCACAGTGCGGCTCTACTGCCGGGTCTCGGGGTCCCCCACCGCCACCATCACCTGGGAGAAGCAGGGGGGCACCCTGCCGCCTCAGGTGAGCGGGGCATGGCACCCCTGGATGCCGGGGGGGTGTGGGTGCACCGAGGGTGCCGCTCACACCGGTCCCGGTGCCGCAGTCGCGCGCCGAGCACGGTGACATCGCCACGCTGGTCATCCCCGCCGTGACGGCGGCCGATGGTGGAGTCTACCTCTGCGTGGGCACCAGCGCCGCCGGCACGGCCCGCGCCGCCATCGAGGTGGCCGTGGTGCCAGGTGAGGCGGGTGGGGGACGCCGGAGGGGTTTGGGGTTGGTTTTGGGGACCAAAACCCACCCGTGTGCCCTGGTTTGCTCCCCGCAGGGACGGCGCCGCCCGTCCGCATTGAGTCCTCGTCCCCATCCGTCACCGAGGGGCAGACCCTGGACCTGGACTGTGTGGTGGCAGGGCCCGGCTCTGCCACCGTGGTGTGGTACAAGCGCGGGGGCTCCCTGCCCGCCGGGCACCAGGTGGGGCACAGCAGGGTGGGCAACGCCCCAAATCTTGCCCTGTCCCCTGCTGTGTGACACTAGTGCGTGTCCCCAACCACAGGTCTCGGGGTCCCGGCTGCGGGTGCCCCACGTCACGGCGGCTGACTCAGGGGAATACGTGTGCCGGGCGAGCCTGGGCACCACCGTCCGCGAGGCCTCTGTCACCGTCACTGTCGTGGCCGCGGCCGGCTCGTCCTACGGTGAGACCAGGGCGGTGGCACCACAGGGGACGTGCTGGTCCCCAACGGGTGGTCACAACTCTGTCCTCCCCCGCAGGACCCCCAGCTTCAGGTGTCCCTGTGCGGATCGAGGCGTCCTCGTCCACCGTGGCTGAGGGACAGACCCTGGACCTCAACTGCATCGTGGCTGGGCAGGGACAGGCCACTGTCACCTGGTACAAGCGCGGGGGGACCCTCCCGGCCAAGCACCAGGTAGGAGATGTGAAGGGGTGTCACCAAGGGGGGACTATGTGGTGGCAGCACCCAGCTCGGCCCCTCCAAGGGTTGTGCAAGCCCCGATGGCCCCGGTGACCCCCGTGTCCCCTCCCCGCAGGTGTCTGGCTCCCGGCTGCGGCTGCTGCAGGTGACGGCGGCCGACTCGGGCGAGTACGTGTGCCGGGTGACCAGCGGGGCCACCACCAGGGAGAGCGCGGTCATGGTGACCATCCAGCCCAGCGGGGCCAGCGCCTACCGTGAGTGGGGACAACAGGGGGGCGGCAGTGCCAGCGGGGAGCCCCGTGTGCCTCAGCACCGAGCCGTGGCTCACATGCCCCGCGGTCACTGGTGTCACCAGTGTCACCCTCCTGTCTCGGTCCCCAGCCCCAGGCAACACCACCCCCCTGCACATCGACTCCCCGTCCTCCGCCGTGGTCGAGGGACAGACCCTGGACCTCAACTGTGTCATCGCCAGTGGCCCTGCCCAGGCCACTGTCACCTGGTACAAGCGCGGGGGGACCCTCCCGGCCAAGCACCAGGTAGGGGACACGGAGGGGATGTCACCGAGGGGGTGAATAAGGTTGACCCACAGCTCCGTGCAAGTCCAGGTGGCCCTGGGCAAGTCCAAGTGGCCCCTTGCAAGCCCTGGTGGCACATACAAGTTTGTGTGGCACATGAAGCCCACGCGAGTCCGAGTAGCCCGTGCAAGGTCAGGTGACCCCATTCAAGCTCTGGTGGTCCCTGTGAGTCCTGGTGGCCCATTTAAGCCCACATGGCCCCGTGGAAGCCGAAATGGCCCCATACAAGCCCCAGCAGCCCCGTGGAAGCCCAGGTGGCCCCGGTGACCCCCGTGTCCCCTCCCCACAGGTGTCTGGCTCCCGGCTGCGGCTGCTGCAGGTGACGGCGGCCGACTCGGGCGAGTACGTGTGCCGGGTGACCAGCGGGGCCACCACCAAGGAGATCTCCATCATGGTGACCATCCAGCCCAGCGGGGCCGGCACCTACCGTGAGTGGGGACAGGAGGTGACAGGGGCCAGGGGACAGTGCCACAGGGCCAGGGGTGACCATCCTATCTCTGTCCCCAGCTGCTGGTGTCACCCCTCCTGTGCGCATCGAGTCCTCGTCCTCCTCCGTGGCCGAGGGACAGACCCTGGACCTCAACTGCATCGTGGCTGGGCAGGGACAGGCCACTGTCACCTGGTACAAACGTGGGGGGTCCCTCCCAGCCAAGCACCAGGTAGGGGACTGAGGAGCGTTTTGGAGTGGGAAAGGGATTTTTGGGGGTGATGAGGGGTTTGTGTCCCCATTCTCTCCTGTGTCACCCCCCTATAGGTGTCGGGCACCCGCCTGCGCATCCCGCAGGTGACAGCGGCCGACTCGGGGGAGTACGTGTGCCGGGTGACATCGGGCACTGCCACACATGAGACATCCCTCATCGTCACCATCCAGACCGGCGCCGGCTCCTCTTACGGTACCAGGGGTGGGTGGTGACATGGGGACACAGTGGGGACACTGTGGTGCCCCCGCTGACCCCACTGCCACCCCCAGGCGTCGGTGTCACGCCACCGGTGAGGATCGAGACTTCGTCTGCTGCCGTCACCGAGGGACAGACCCTGGACCTCAACTGCATGGTGGCAGGACAGGGTCACCCCCATGTCACCTGGTACCGGCGCGGGGGGGCTCTGCCCCCCAACAGCCAGGTGGGACACGGGGGAGGTGGCATCACCCCACAGGGCACAGCCCCACGACAGGCATTGATGTGTCCCCAACGTGTCACCTCCCCAGGTGTCGGGGACTCGCCTACGCCTCGCCCAGGTGGCAGTGGCCGATTCGGGGGAGTACGTGTGCCGGGTGACCCTGGGCAGCGTCACGCAGGAGGCGTCTGTCATTGTCACCGTGCCCAGCAGCGCCGGCACCTACTACCGTGAGTGCGAGTGAGAGGGCAGCGCCTGGGGACAGTCAGGCGTCACCTCGATGATAAACGTCCCCTTTCCCTGTCCCCTCCAGCCTCTGGTGTCTCCCAGCCCCTCCACATCGAGTCCTTGTCCTCGGCCATCGCCGAGGGACAGACCCTGGACCTCAACTGCGTGGTGGCCGGGTCCGGCCCCACCACCGTGACGTGGTACAAGCGCGGGGGGTCCCTGCCTGCTGGCCACCAGGTAGGGCACAGAGGGAGGTCACCTTGAGTTTGTCCCATCCCCTGCTCTACAGTGCTGACTTGTCTCCAAATTGTCCCCTCCGAGGTGTCGGGCAGCCGCCTGCGCATCCCCCAGGTGACGGCGGCCGACTCGGGCGAGTACGTGTGCCGGGTGACATCGGGGGGCGTCACCCAGGAGACGTCCCTCATCGTCACCATCGATGACGGGGCCAACCCATCCCACTGTGAGTGCCACGCTCTGGGGGACGGATCCCCACCCGTGTGGGGGACCACTGGGACAGTCACTCCAACCCTTCCCATTCAGCCTCTGCCATCACGCCACCCATCCGCATCGAGTCCTCGGCGTCCTCTGTCACTGAGGGGCAGACCCTGGACCTGGACTGCGTGGTGGCCGGGGAGGGACAGGCCACCATCACCTGGTACAAGCGCGGGGGGTCCCTCCCGGCCAAGCACCAGGTAGGAGGGGACACCTGCGGGGTGGGGGACGGTGGCTGTGGGTGGCTGGTTGATGCCACCACCTGGTGTTGTGATGTCCCCAGATGTCGGGGTCCCGCCTGCGGCTGTCGCAGCTCTCGGTGGCCGACTCGGGGGAGTACGTGTGCCGGGCAGACACGGGCAGTGTCTCCCGTGAGGCCACTGTCACCGTCACCGTCACCTCCCGGGACAGCTCCAGCTACCGTGAGTGCGGCAGTGGGGTGGGGGAGGATGGTAGGGGGTGTGGGTGACATGGGTGACCTCATGGCTTCCCTGTCCCTTTGTCCCTGCAGGCCTGCAGAGCCCCATCATCTCCATCGACCCGCACAGCATGGCCGTGGCACCGGGGGAAGATGCCACCTTCAAGTGCCGCATCCACGACGGCGCCCGTCCCGTCAACGTCACCTGGCGGATGGGACCTGGCCAGCACTTCCAAGGTACAGTGTTACCCGGGGTGGCCCTGGCACGGTACCCAGCGTGGCCCTGGTGCTGATGGCCCCTCCTTGCCCAGACAACGTGAAAATCAGCGCTAATGGCTCGGTCATCTCCATCACTGGTGCCCACGTGGGCAACCAGGGCGCCTACCACTGCGTGGCCTCCAACCGCTTCGGCGTCGCCAGCAGCGTCGTCAACCTTGTGGTGCAAGGTATGAGGTGGCTGTGGTGGCCCTGTCCCTGTCCCTGTGTGCTCCAGATGCCCCCTGGGTGGTGGCATCCCCATTGACATCCTCACGTTGGTGTCTCTCATGGGCTCCAGATCTTCCTGCACTGGTGGTGTCCCCATCCTCATGTCCTCCAGGTGCCCCCAGGGTGGTGGCATCCCTGTCCCTGTCCCCATGCTGGTGTCCTCACATGCTCCAGATACCCCATGTCCCCTCCATGCTTCACCTGGAGTGGTGGTGCCCGTGTCCCCATACTGGTGTCCTCCTGGTGCTCCAGGGGTTGTGATGTCCCCATCCCCATGGCGATGTCCTCAATGTGCTCCAGATGCCCCTGGGATGATATGTCCCCATTCCTGGGTCCTCCATATGCTCCAGATGCCCCTGGGATGGTGGGGTCCCCAGCCCCACCCCCATGCTCACGTCCTCCTCGTGTTCCCGACATCCCCAAGGTGATGGTGCCCCCATGGCCATCCCTCACGGTGGTGTCCCCATCCCCACACCCCTGTCCTCCTCCTTCTCCAGGTGCCCCCACCGTGTCGGTCATGCCACCAGGCCCCGTGACGGTGAAGGAGGGCAAATCCCTGAGCCTGGAGTGCCTCGGGCGGGGCGAACCGCGGCCGCTGGTGCGCTGGAGCCGGCTGGGCTCCCGGCAGAAGGTGGAGCACCAGACCCTGCTGCACATGGACAGCCAGGCCATCCTGCAGGTGAGGGGGCACCCCGGGGTGCTTCAGGGCACCAGAGGATGCCCAGTGCTCACCCCACACCCTGTCCTCTCCACCCAGCTCTCGCCGGCCAAGCCGGAGCACGCCGGGACCTACGTGTGCACGGCACACAGCGCGCTGGGCTCGGCGCAGGCGCGGGTGGACGTGGGCGTGGAGTCGGCGCAGCGGCACCCCGGCACCCCTGAGGTCACCGCGCCCGCCACCGTCACCGTGGTGGCCGGGGACACGGCCACGCTGCACTGCACTGCCACAGGTATGGGTGGGAGGGGGTGGGGGTGCAGGATGGGCACCCCGGGCGGTGCCCAACCTGACGGGCGCTGGTGTGGCCGCAGGGGACCCGATGCCCCGGATCGAGTGGTCGAAGCTGCGGGCACCCCTGCCCTGGCAGCACCGCGTGGTCAACGGGACCCTGGTGATCCCTCGTGCCGCGCAGCAGGACTCAGGCCAGTACATCTGCAATGCCACCAGCCCCGTGGGCTCCACAGAGGTCTTCGTCACCCTGGACGTGGAGAGTAAGGACAGGGTGCCAGGGGGGTTGGGTGCCCCTGGGCCCCTCCTGCCGCCTTCACCTCTGGCATCACCCATCCTTGGCTCCTCTCTGTCCTTCCTCTGCACGTGCCATCGCTGCTCCCACCTCACATCCAGCCCTTCCCTGTGGGATCGTCCTCATCCCATCCCAGCACTCGTCCTCTTCCTCTCCATCTCCTCTCAAGCTCTGTCACCCAGTCCTTCCCATGGATGTGGCCACCAGCTTGTCCCATCTCTGTGCACGTCTGTCTCCAGTTCTGCTCTCTCCTCCATCCATCCATCCATCCATCCATCCATCCATCCATCCATCCATCCATCCCCTATTCCTGGATCCATCCACGACTCACCCCTCCCAGCTCACACTCACCTCTCCATCTCTGCTTGTATCTCTCCTTCCATTTCTTCCTCATGGATCCATCCATCACATTCATCCCAAAACACACCTATCTCTCCATCTCCTTACTCCTCCATCTATCTCTTCCTTGTGGATTCACCCATCTCTGGCCCATCCCAGCACATGCCCATCTCTGCATTTCTTCTCACACCCTTCCATCCATCCCTTCCTTGTGCATCATCCATCTCATCCATCCCAGCACACGCCCAACTCACCATCTCCTCTCAGACTCTGCCAATCATCCACCCATCCATCCATCCACTCACATCCCCTCCCCTTCCTTGTGGATTCATCCATCACTCAGCTGTCCCAGCTCTCCATCTCCTAACTCCTCCACACGACTCCTCCATCCCAGCACACACCCATCTCTACATCTCACTTCTCCATCCACCTTTTCCTTGTGGATTCATCCATTGCTTATCCATCTCAGCTGATATCCATCTCACCATCTCCTCCCACACCCTTCCATCCATCCCTTCCTTGTACGTCCATCCATGTCATCCACCCCAGCACACAGCCATCTCTCAGTCTCCCCTCAGACTTATCCATCCAACCCTTCCTGGTACATTCATCCCTCACATCTTACTCTCCGTTTCCCAACTCCTGCATCCATCTTTTCCTTGTGCATCATCCACCTCCTCCATTCCAGCACGCACCCAACTCACCATCTCCTCTCAGACTCCGCCAATCATCCATCCATCCATCTATCCATCCACCCACATCCCCACCTCTTCCATGTGGATTCATCCATCACTCAGCCATCCCATCTCCTGTCACACCCTTCCATCCATTTTTTCCTTATGCATCCATCTGTTTCATCTATCTCAGCACACACCCATCTCTCCATCTCTGCTCACACCCCTCCATCCATCCCTTCCTCTTGGATCCATCTGTCTCTCATCCATGCCAGCATGTGCCCATCTCTCCATCTTCTCTCAAACTCTGCCACCCACCCATCCCTTCCTGGTGGATTCATCCATCATTCAACCATCCCAGCTCACATCCACCTCTTCATCTCCTGTCACACCCCTCCATCCATCCCTTCCTTGGGGATCTGTCTATCCCTGGTTCACCCCAGCACACAACCATGACTCCTTTTTGTCCCCAGCTCATCTGTCCATCCATCCCTCCATCCATTTCTTCCATATGGATTCATCCACTTTGTCCATCTCAGCACATGCCCATCTCACCATCTCTTCTCAAACTCTGCCATCCATTCACCCACCCATCCATCCATCCATCCCTCCATCCATCCATCCCTCCATCCATCCATCC